GGGGTCCCCAACCCCCGAGCTGCAGACTGGTACTGTGGTCTGTTAGGAACCAGGCCACACAGCAGGAGGTGAGCGGCAGGCGAGTAAGCAAAGCTTCATCTATATTTGCAGCTGCTGCTCAGCGCTGGCATCACCACCTCAGCTCCACCTCAGATCATCAGGCGTGAGATTCTCCTAGGAGCTCCGGTCCCTGGTGCCAAAAAGGTTGGAGACCGCTGTTCTAGAGGTCAGATGTCTAAAATGGGTCGGCAGGGCTGCATTGCTTCTGAGGGCTCAGGGAAGAATCTGTTCCTTTTCTAGCCTCCGGAGAATGCCTGCATTCATTGTCTGGCAACTCCATCACTCTGACTTGTTTCCATTGTCACGTCTTCTCTGATTCAGACACTCCTGCCTCCTTCTCATAAAGACCATTGTAATTACATTGAGCCCACCTGGATAATCCAGGATACTCTCCCCATCTCAAGATCCTTAACTTAATCACATGTGTGGAATCTCTTTTGATATATAAAGTGACCTATTCACAGGTTTCAGGAATCAGGGTGTGGATATCTTTTGGAGGCTGTTATCTGCTGACCATAGGGAGGGTATATTTTGCAAGGAGACTCAATAACGCCGTGGAGGGCATTAATGGTGGAATCTACAGAGGCCAGACTAACCAATGAGAACAATATCCTGGGCAAATAAGACCTCCTGAGCCCGAATTACAGCTCTCTAGTGGCCTTTTTTGGGTAACTGCTGGATAGATAGGTCCGAACAGAGGCCATCTATGAGATGGGACCAGATACAAGGCACTGTTCCTGGAGTCTGAAGACCTGGGATTCAGATGCAGCTCAGCCAGTGACTTCTTATGAAATGGTGAAAAATTGCTTTGCTCCTGGGTTAAATGGGGCTGGCAGTTCCCTCCTGGTTCGCCTTACAGGTCTACTACAGTGAGTATGAAGGTGCCCAGCCAATTGCACTTGGGGATGCTGGTTGCTGTTGTTGTTGTTGGTATTATTGATGAAAGTGATGGGAGAGGCTGGTGGCCTCAGAGATCAAGAGGACCTGGAAAGACTCCCAAAGTGAAAAGTCAGGAGGCCAGAGACCCTGAGAGGAAAGGGGACAGTGTTCCAGGTGGAGGGAGCATTGCAAAGGTGGTGTGGTCCAACCTGGGGCCTGCTGACCCTAACATCTGGCTTTGATGAAAGCAACCATCAGACTCAGTTGTTTGTTAAAGCAAAAGTCAAGGAGTTTGAGAAACCAGGTCAGGATCAAGTTCAGTGCTCACAGACCAGAACTACTGATGTTGAATTAGCTGCAACTCCCGACTAATAAACCCTAATCAGTCCCAAGTGCAGAAGAATACTTCCTTCTCCCAGCCCCAGCAGCTTACAGACTCCCAGCACCAGTTATATGCTGGGGATGTCCTTACTGCTGCCCAGGAAAGGAGGAGCTCAGGGACAGGAGACCTCAGATGTACAAGAGAGGAACGAAGGACCGGGAAAGGAAGGCATAGGACCAAATTCCTGAGGCCACTCAAGAGCAGAGCCTGGCCCTAGAGGAAGCTGCCTAACTGCCATTGGGGCGGGGATAGGGTGCGTTTACAATTTTCCCCAACATCTTGCCCAGATGCCGTGTGACAGATTTGAAAAGTAGGAGGACTCCAGGGCTCTCCTGGGAGAGGCTCTGCCTCAGAAGCATTGGTTATTTCCATCAGCTGTGAGATCACAGTCTCCAGGATACTAGAAAACTTCTACCAGGAAGGACTGGGGAAAATGTCTGCAATATACATGTAAAAAGCTAAAATCCTTACTATATAAAAACTCTTGTAAAATGAGAATCCCATTCATTAAAACAGTAAGCCATTCACAGAAGAAATACAAACTGGCACTGAACATTCTGAAATATTCAATCTCACTTGAATCCACAAATGAAAAATAAAATGCAGAGGTACAAGGTAGAGTTGATTTGTATTTCTCTGTGGCCTGTTATCACCATCAACCTACAGGCCCCGCTCCGGTGGCTGTGCACGACTGCCTGCGTGGGCCACGTGTTCTTTTTTTTTTATCTCCTTCCTCTCTTCTTCCCACTGATGAACAATCTAATATATTGAACATGAAGTTTTTCTCCTTCTGGAACACAGAACAGGATGGAACGTAATCCTTGGTTCGTGACAGTTTCTATCACTGGTTCATGCGAGGCTCTCTTTTCCTTTTTTTGTCTGTATTGAAATATATTAGACAATTAGTTGCTTGTATTTACATTGCACAGTTCAGAGGTTTGTTCTTTTTTTTTAAATTATAGTTGGTATACAATAATATACCAGTTTCAGTTGTATAGCATAGTGATCAGAGATCCACATAACTCACAAAGTGATCACCCCACTAAATCTAGTACCCCTCTTCCTCCTTACATATTTATTACAACGTTATTAACCATCTTCCCATGCTACACTCTACATCTCCATGTCTGTTCTGCAACTATCTATTTGTACTTTTTATTTCCTTTGCCTTTTTTTTTGTCCTCCCCAAACCCCCTCCCATCTAGTATCCCTCTAAATATTCTCTGTATCTATGAGTTTATTTCCGCTTTTGTTGTGTCGTTGATTTTGTTCTTTAGATTCCACGTGTACGTGAAATCATGCGATATTTGTCTTTCTCTATCCGACCCATTTCATTCAGCGCAAGACCTTCTAGGTCCGTCAAGGCAATATATTTTTCCATCCCCTTCCTGTTAGTCTGTGCGTGTCTTTTAATCTGAAGTGAGTCTCTTGTAGGCAGAATATATAAGGGCCTTGTTTTCTTATCCAATCAACCACTCTATCTTTTGGTTGGAGCACTTAATTATTTTCCATTGAAGGTATTTATTGATAGGAATGTAGTTGTTACCATTCTTTATTCCTGTTTTTGATACATGTTTTTTTTTTTTTTTTCTTAAAGAAAT